AATGCTCTGCTTTTCTAAAAAGGTCACTTTAGCTTTCTTCACCTCCTGGGTGCTGGGGTGACACCCTTCCCCGCGAGCCTTTCCATGACCTGAGTTGGCTTGATGGTCACAGACCATCATCAATGCTTACTGCAGGGCTAATTGCCTAAAAAAAAAGAATGTGCTTTCTTCTTTGCCTCCTATAAATGCTGCTTTTCTAAAAAGGTCACTTTAGCTTTCTTCACCTCCTGGGTGCTGGGGTGACACCCTTCCCCGCGAGCCTTTCCATGACCTGAGTTGGCTTGATGGTCACAGACCATCATCAATGCTTACTGCAGGGTGCTAATTGCCATCCTCAAAGAGGAAGAGCGTCAACAATCAATAAAGAAGACAGAGCACTGGTAGATTTATGGCTTTGATTTTGAAAAGGTATGGGAATGCCCAGTGATGTTTTCCCCGGCACTCCTTTTGAATGTTAATGCTTTCTTGAAGATGATTTCAGACGCACTGCTAGGAAACTGCCTCTACTCACTGAAGCAGAATCCTCTGAAGAGTTGCTGAGGCAGAACCGAAATCATGGCTCGCCTCAAAGAGGCAGCTGTATTGGTCGCTAATGATGCCTCGCGTGGGAAGACGGTGCTCCTTTAACTCGGGGTTTTAATGGGAAGTTTCTAAGCCTGAAAAAACAGCTTGAGATCTGGGGTGTGCCATCAGCAGCTCTCGGCCACCACTGCCTACTGCTTTCCCACAGCGTGGTCGGGAAGAATGGAAATGAAAGAGGCTTCTAACTACCTGTAACTGTTCCACCAGGAAATGGATCAAGTGTTTGTTCAGCCAGACCCAGGTACTTGACCCTAACTGCATCTTTGATGGGCTAATTAATTAGATGTTTTTCTGTAACTTTATAATTGATGCATGGGCAATAATCACATAGCTGTCTTTGGGTCAGAGTTCTGAATTTAAATCTAGCTGTTAAAGTAATTAAACAGCTGTCAGGGAAAGTTAACGTGAAGGGATAAAATGTAATAATGCCTTTATTTTTAAAGCATGCTTGCGTTTCTTATGGCACTGATGCTGGATAAAGAAGTAGGAAAACAGGATTTTTTTTTTCCTTTCCCAAGCTGCAGTAAATTATTTTTGGAAGCTTTTTGCCTACTACAGTTTTCTTTTTCCCTTTACCTAAACCACCTAAGGTTCCAAAAGGTAACAAGGATGTTTTGATTTGTTTACGAAGGACCGAGAAGTAACAACTCTTAAAGAGAGTGCTGCCAATTCCTTGCTGAGGAACAGTGTGCAGCCTGAGCCTTTCGAGGTGTCTGCAAGCAGTCTTTTCACTGTGAAACACAAGAGGGAAGAGACAAAAACAGCGGAGATCTGTATGGTTGATTATTTGGAATTTAAAGCCCCAGTTTGTTAGTGGTGCCTTGCTTTGGACAGCTCCACTTCTAACCTGTACCCTCGCAGTAGCGCTTCTCTGATCTTCTCATTTGGGCTGCATGCAGCCCTCACCCTGCTGGTCCCTTTAAAACTCTCCAAGCAGTGTTAGGAGGAAGGTAGAGATAAGGATGAAATACCGCTGAGGTTGGGATTCAGGCTGAAGAGGAAGGTTGCCCAGTGACCCAGAGGTGCTAAGCAGCGGTGAGATTAGAAGGAAAATGTTCACACCCAAACCCAGGTAGTTGTGTCTACGGACTGACTTTGCAGGGGTGAGCAGAGAACAGACCTCCTGGTGCAGCAGTGGAGGCTGGATCTGTTCCATGAAACTGCCTGTTGACATTCAGAGCTGACCACTCTCATGTTTCAAAAATTATGTTTTGTGGGCTTTCTAGTAGCCTTGGTCTAATTTTTGAGAGTTAAAAAAATAATATTCACCCTTAGACATCCTGTGAATTTGGAAGCATCAAGGCTATTATATCAGAACAATAGGACTTTATGTGGGGGAAAAATAGAGATATTGCCATGTGTTTATGTGAGGCCAAAATAAAGGGAGTGGGTGGGAACATTTAAAATGCATGAAGCACTGAGAAGAAGGCAGGAAACCTTTACCCGAAGTTCTTGGCCAGTCATGAATTCTTTGAATTTGTGTGAAACATTTTGTATCTTTGTATATACATCCTGAAAAGCAAGTTATTCTTCACTGGGGTAACATGAAGAATTCTCAAAAGATTCCTAAGGGCGTAACCCTTGCTTGTGGTGATTTGATCATTTAGCTAACGCGGTAGCTTATGAAAAGAGCTCACAGTCGTTGGGGGAGATGCATACAGGGTTGCTGGGGAGGTTTGCACGTCTAGGAAGGTGGGATGGACCTGGAGAGACCCCAGTTCTGCCAACAGGAATGCAGTACAGGCTTCCTTTAGCTCAGGAAGTGGAGAGCAATTCTGTGCAGCCCCAGTGTCAGGATGTGTATTGCTGCACTAGTAGTAAGCGGGGTTAAACGGAGCAGCGCTTTGGGGGAGTTTGTCTTTGCGTCTCTGCAGATGCAGCCCTACCTTGCTGGCCAGTTCCCTTCTTGTTAGTCTACAAAGTAGTCTCACCAGTGTGCCAGGTAAATACAAATAAAGTACACAGGATGTCTCTTTGCAGGGCAAACTGAAGTTGGACAAGCCCATGAGTGTCCTTGCTCAGTGGGCAGGCTGTTTTTATATCCACTTTTAATAACATGTCAAGTCACGTATTTAGGTTTCTGGCCCAGAAGGTTTAAAAATTAGGTATGGTAATTATGTGGTTCAGGAGTACTTAAAATACAGACAACACTGCTTAACTGTACCCTGCATGCCAATCACCAAGAGGGGTGAGCAATTTCCAGTCATTCTAGCATACCAGAGGACAACTCAGGATTTACTATCTTTAAGGGGTAAAAATGCATGCTATACTTTTGATAACTGATTTTTATGATTCGGGGCAATTTATTTATACATTTTCTTTTCTTTGTGTGCTGAATTGTAAAAAAAAAAAAAGAAAAGAAAAAGAAACAATTCTCACTTTGCCCAAAAATGAAGAAAGAGAACACACTCCTTCGTTACCAGTTGTTTACCAAGACCCCACTGTGCCTGGTGGGTTGCACACTGCTGCACCCACGCTGCTGGGATCGCTGCAGCCCCTTCAGGACAGGGCACCATGAAGATGAGGTGGTGGAATCTGGTGTCTGGGTTCCCCAGAACAGCGTGCCAGATGCATGTAACCAGTTCTGTTGCTGACCCTTTAAAAAGAAGAAAAGAAATCTGTCATTTTGTTAAGATATATTTTCTTTAGAAAAAGTGTTTCTCCTTTCTGTGAAATTGTGTAATGAGATGCAAATAAAATAAAATACCCTGAAAAATGTACATATTGATATTATAGTTTGCATGTCAGACATTAAGGATTCAGTATGTTTTAAGCAGCTGCCTTCCTGCACCCATCAAAAAAAGAAAAAAGAAAGATTAAGAAAGGACTGACCTCTTCAGTAGAAGGGTAACTGCTCACCTCTGACTGATTATCATGTTTTGGACTCCACTCATTAGCATTGAAGTCAAGGAAAATTTAAAAGAGCTAAATAATTCATGGCTTTTCGATTCATGAACTCTGTGGCTATTAAATGTCATTGTAGCTTGGACTAGCTGTGATTCTTTGAAACAAGATCTATTTCTAACACAATGATCTGACATCCCAGTTGGGCTAAGTGACATATTTTTTTCCCCTCATTATACTAGTTAGATGGAACCTTAATTTTGAATTCAGTTCCCTGGACGGCAAGGGACCAGAGATTTGATTGAACTCTATTCTAAGAGGCTATGGTCCCAGAAGAGCAAAGAACTTCTGAAGGAGATCATTGTTTAATAAGGGGAAGGTGACAATGTGGACACTTGTCCTGTCGTGTTGCTGCCCAAGTAAGGTGAAGTCGGGAGACAGACTAGGATGGTCCCCATCCCTCAGAAGGAGCGATGTAGGACCCCACCAAGGAGGAGACACGGTGTGGGCCTGAAGTGGAAGGAGCAGGCAGGAAGAGTGGAGGAGCACGTTAAGAGTGGAAAGCTGGAGATGCTCAGACACACCAGGGGTCCAGTGGGGCGAGGGGTGGGCGAAATGGGAACATTTCCAAGTGCCCAGGACTCAGTCACATACGTGTTTACTCTTATAAATGCATTGATTTTAGTGGAGATCAAATGTGATTTTATGTTTGTTTCTTTTTAAACTTAAGAGGATCCATTGATATCTTAGAACATTCCACTGTATGTTCTCCTTTGTGGTCCGAAATACACCAGAGCTTCAGGGCCACAGTGGGACACTGGAGTGGATGGCTGCTGGAGAAGGGGTAGCGAGATCTGGACTGGACAGACGATCGGAATAAGGGTGTAGGAAGTCCTGGAGGTGAAGGAAGAGAATGCTTTGAAAATCACTAAGGTGAGTGTCTAACGGCCATGGCTGGGATTCACTGCTCACAGGGGGCTTTAGGTACTGCTGGCTGTCAGCACTGAAGAGTCCAGAGAGCTTGCCTTGGGAAAAGGGATGGATTACAGTATTTTTAATGGGATCTTTTCATTAAGATTTTCTTGGTCCAGCATTAAAATTAGACTTTACTTCCTGAGCACACTCAAAAGGACCTGACGAAGGGAAGACACAGATTTACTGCGTGGTGGGAAAAGCCAGTCAGGACTGAAATACTGCCGTGAGTAACTGGTTCTTCTTCGTGCTTAAAATAACTGCCATTTGTTACTGGGAGGCCTGTGGTGCTCATGTTCCAATCATCTGAAATAATTTGTTAGCCCAGATTTTCCTGTCTGTCTAAAGATTTCATTATTCAGCTAAAGGTAATCATGAACATTTTCTAAGAATCTTTTACCAGAAAAGGACATTGCACTTTAAGACACACATTTTAAAAATTTAGGTGTGTATTTCTGCATTATGGCAATGAAGTGATTCAATTTTTCCCCTCTTTTATATCTGATGTTTCCTTCAACTTAAATTTGAAAATTATTAAATTTCTAAATTTGAGAATTATTTGTTAGCTGTTTACAAGTTTAAAGTCAAGCAGGATCTCCCAGGGTCTTCAGTCAGTCCTAAGCAAAATTGTGAAGTGGTTGGTATTGGTTTCTCTATCCCTTTATCCCCATACCCTTTTATAATCACCTTCTGAGCCTCTCATCTTTATCCACCATCTTTCTTTCCTCCTGTATGGCACCCATATCTGCCCCATCCTTCCTAGCAGGCCCCCAATTACCAGAAAGATCCTCCTTTTCTCTAATTGCATTTTCCGTCTCTTTCAATTTCCTTTCTGTCAGCCAATTTCTCCATCCTCCAAATTTCTCCATCTGGGACAGTCCTCACAGATAAATTTCTGCTAAGATACTAATATGTCCCTCTGTTTTGCAAAATCCTGCAATTTAATAGAGGATTTTGATTATTGGATCCAAAGAAATTATTTTAATAAGAACATGGACACCACGGTATCTCTATTTGGTCATCAATTTGTTATTTCTAAAAGGTCTTGGTGACAAATATATATGAATCATCAGGCCTCTCAAAATGTGTGGTCAGGCTACAGAGAGAGTTAACCATATGTTTACTTCTTGACTTTGCGTGTGTATGTGTGGTCAGGGGATCAAACCCAGGGCTCTGCACATGCTATGTGAGTGCTCTAGCACTGAGCTGCACCCCTACCACCTCTTCCCTTTTAATCGAAAAGGGTGGTAGAATGACAACTCATTTTAAAATCATCTTAATGTTTTTATTTCTGTGGAGAAGCTGAGCCCCTGTCTTTTATAGGAAGACTGAAAAGGAAGATGTGTCAGATAGTGTGAAGTGGAGCAGTTCATCTCTTAGCTGGGACTTCTGGGATGGTTGGTCATCGCTGTAGCCCCCAAATGGATGATAGGTGGGCTCTCAGTCCTGAGCTTTGGGGTAAGCCTAGGAAGTTTGACATGTTGATCTAGGAGAAGAGAAGTGTATTTTGCCTTTTACGGAGGAGGCCCAGGAGGCTGTTTCTAGCTGTAGGGATGGCTCTCATCAAGGGAGGCACTGGATAAAGGACTGGCACACAAGTCAGCCAGCTGTGGCCTGGGGGTCATTCTCACAGGACCCAGGGCTTCCTTATACAGTTCTTCCCTGTTTTCTTTGGATGTCACAGGTCCAGAAATCCCAATCCCAGTGTTGTACACTTATACCATTAATGGTCTCTGAGTTTCCTTCATTCTTTGTTGGGTTGTGTATTGCTTTCAGAAAGAGCTTTCTGGAACTGCATACTTGTATCAGTAAAAGGTGAAAGGTTTATATGATCTGAAGAGAAACCGGAGTCTCATACTTGTATCAGCACTGTTGAGGATAGACCAGAAAAAGTGGGAAGAGACCTTGTCTTGATTGGGCTGGAGGAAAAACAGACACAGAAAGGGATTCTAGTAAACTAGCCAGAAAAGCCAGGGTCAAAGTGGGCATGGTCCTATAGATGTGAATAGGAGAGAGGGGCATGTCAGGGGCGGTCAGGGTTTGCCTCCCTCTGTCATCAGCTCTCCTTTGTGCCAGAACTGGAGAAGTTTATAATTGGAATGATTAAGACCAGTGCGAGTATTTTTGGTGGCTACAGATGGCCCTAGTCTGTTGTGCCAAGAAAGTTGCAGTAGAGGCAGTGGCCACATTTTCTGCTCCCTTCTCCCTAGCTACACTGGGAATTAATACCCAAAGCTGAGGGGGTGCTTAAAAAGAAGCAAATAGAAACTAGGCCCCACTCACCCGGTCTATATTCTTAAAGATCTTATTGATAAAAGATACAGTTAAATTGCATCCCAATCTTGCTTCAAAACAAATATGAATCATAGGTGAATCTTGCACCTATTCTACACCTTTAAAAAAATTCAATATGGTGGATCATGCCTATAATCCCAGCACTTTGGGAGGCTAAGGCAGGAGGACAGCAAGTTTCTTAGGAACTTAGTGAAAACTTGTCTCAAAATGAAAAATAAAAAAGGGCTGAGGAATGTATGTAACTTGGTGTGAATTCCCTGAATTCAATTCTCAGTACTGAAAAAAATTAGTGACAGGACTTTAAAATGACCTGTTAGCCTCAAATTGTTGACACCTTCCTTCCAAATACTAGTTGTGTTTCTGAGTTTGATCCCCAGTACCAAAAACAAACAAATCAAAAAAATAACCAAATACTAGTTGTGATTACTCTTAGAAATTGTTTTAAACTGTGATTTTTGTAAACTTTGAAGTATCAACTCACATACTGTTATGATTGCTAATGGAGCACTGAAGGCAACGATTATACATAACTGAAGAAATACTGTGTTGATACTTTAGGTTATATTTGGATGCTTACTTTAATTGAGCATAATTTATTTGGATCCATGTTAATTTTTATAGGTAACTATTGTGTCACATACTTTTCCTTACAAATTTACAATGAGTTTTGATATGGTAATATCTGATATGTATAGTTTTCTTTACCAAATTTGATTTAAGTTGATTTAGGTCAGTACCTGTACCTTTAAATGAGATTGTATATATCCTTTTGTCTTCAAAACAAGCAGTAACATTCAAATGCCTCAATTCTTCCACCACCAGTAACATACAAATGGTAATAAGCTGTCTTTTTCTTCTCTTTCCCTCTACCAAATGGTTTGAAGTGGTAGGAAGCCGCTGTTAAGAAAAATATCTTTTTAAAAACATGCAGTCGATCAATTCCTTTTCCCTAGCTCAATTTTCTAGGTGCTTCCCTGGGTCAAGTATTGAACTTTGTCTTTGTTTTTGAAGAAGAAATGAGAAGCAGCAATAACTTGATGATTTGGGAGCCTGAGATACCTCATTCTCCCTTGGCTCAGTTGTCAGAAAAAAAAAATAGAAGCATTATAGTTACTTTAGTCCAGTCTTAAGTGAAACAAAGCTTTGTTGTGCTTTCTCTCTTCTTCTTTGTATATCTTTCAAAAGGGTTTTTTTTTATAGACATTCATCATTACCATTGCACATGAGATAATGCAGATGTTCCCAATGCTTTACAGCTTCCTGACCTCTTCAAGGTTCCAACCTCATTTAGCAGTAAAATGGAGGCCAGAGCCTCCAGCCTCGAGCCTGAAGGCCCCTGAGAGAGTATGTATACTGAGGACCTGATTTTCTTTGCACTTCGGCTGTATAGGTCACTGCTTCCTTGGCATCTCTAGCAGAACGGCTAACACATGTTGAGTTTAGCCATGGACCTGGTACATAGTGGTGCTCAGTCAATGGTGCCGTCATGAGGGTGATGTGAGAGCAATATAATTGAAGGAAGCCAAAAGCAGACTTGGCAGAGAGGCTGGGTCTGGATGTTAAGTTGACAGCACACCTCAAGGTCAATATTACTTTGCCCTTTTCTCATCTTCTGTATTATGCTTACATTTTTCTGCCCATCCCTCCTGGCCCCGCTGGCCATTCTGAGGACAGTCTGGTTATTTCATGCAAAAGTGAGATATTCTTCTTCATAGTTACAAAAAATAAAGCATCTCTGGAGAAAGTAAAAGCTTGTTTACAGATTCCTCTTGTCTGAAAAACATGACCATCAATCTCGGAAATAAATTGCCATTTGATCATCATTCCCTCTCCTTCCCCTTTTCTCCTTTAAGATAACTCAAGCTCTCCAGGCTGTAGTCGCCATGCTCTTACCGGACTGATGATGGAGGAAAAGGGTACCAGGATTCCCCATGCTCTGCCAGACCTGGACAATGGACGGAGGTCCGCCCACCCCTTCACCCTTAGCTCCCCTCGGGAATGTGTCATCAGATTCTAGCATGTCTCTGGAGCAGAAAACGACTTTTGTTTTTGTGATTCTGTTGTTTATTTTCTTGGGCATCCTCATCGTCAGGTGCTTCCGGATTCTTCTGGACCCGTATCGGAGCATGCCGACCTCAACCTGGGCTGATGGGCTAGAAGGCCTGGAGAAAGGCCAATTCGACCATGCCCTGGCTTAGTGGGACAAAGAGACTCTCTTCTTGAGGAGGGGAAGAGGTCGGGCCTGGGCAAGTGTTCCCTTTAGTTAATATTATGAACAAATCAGATTTTAACAATATCTGGCTCTAGGAACACAATCTGTTATTCCATAAACATAGAGTTGAATGAAAGATGTTTTATTTGAGAATGCTGGAAATGAAAGTTTATATTACTAACCCAAAACAGGAAGGTTTAAATGTCTGTGTTTAGTCAGTGAATGAATACTGTTGAGTGTGGGACTCTAGAATCAAGAGCAGTGGTACTGACATGGACTTTGCTATGAAACAAAGCATTACGTGACCTGGCCAGAGAATTAAAGGTTAGAAAGGATCTGTTCTGAATCTGGTGACAAGACCAAGAAGAGCCTGCCTTGCTCCAGTCATGCCTCTCCACTGTTTATTTCAGAGACATCTGGGTCCTGGGCATAGTGAGGAAGATGTTTTGAGGGGACCCAAAGTGGATATTTATTTTCTCCTAAAACAGGGAGCACTGGGAAGCAATGGGAGGCTTAGTAGAGATGGTTCTGTCCTCGGTAAACATGAGCAAAAAGAATATTTCAGTTTTCAAACAACACTGAATTAGAAGGCTACAGAGTTTTCAGAATTGCTTACCAGGCTTAGTGCATTTTCTGTATTCATAGTAATACCATACGTAGAAATAGCTACATATAACTTGAATTTCTTTATATTAATGAGTAAAACAGTTACAAGTACAGCTTCCAGTTGCTTTTTATTTTTATTAAAAGCAAATTGTTTAGAGAAGACTTTTACAGTTGTAAGAGGAATATGCATTTACGATTGCCTATACTCAGCAAATAAAACTTTTCAAGAAACAGCATTGTCTCTTCCATTTCACTGAGATTAACATGCTGGGAGTGGTGCGTCAGCTTGAATGCTGAGGTTTAACATTTCTCCAAGAGAAGGAGAAAAAAGCAAAGAGCAGGAAAGGTCATCTAATTCATCCTCTCATCTCACAAAGGGCTCCTGCAAACTGTCCCGAACAGATTAAAACCCGTTCTAAGCATTAAGTCCATCAACAAGGAAGATGTGAACACCTCACTCTAATTTTTATTAAGAGAAAGAGCTTGTATCTGGACCGACTCCTTTTATCAGGATTATAATCTCTCTCTTTCAATTTCCTCTGCAGTTAATTATCATTTTTATTAAAAAACAATTTGGAAAATACTAGCTATGCCCCAAGAGGCATCCTTCAGTAACACTTTTTAAAATGTTTTTTGTGTCCAGCTGCCCAGATTTCCTCTCCCCCATATTCCTCCTGTTTGTTTTTATTTTCTTAACGAAAGTTTTATTAAAATATACTTTGCATACCATAAAGTTTAACCTTTAGAAGGGTATAATTGAATAATTTCTAGTGTATTCACGGATTGCTGGAGCCACTGACATCAAATTCTAGAGCACTATTTTCACTGAAAGTCCCCTCCAGCCCCCTGTTTCTCAATCCTGGCAATCCGCTTTCTGTCTCCGTGGATTTGTCAATTCTTGACATTTCATATAAATGGAATTATGTGCACAGGACATTAGCACATTTTCAAGGTTCATCCATGTTGTAACACGAGAAGCATTACTTTGCAGCACCAAATGATGGTCCATTGTTTGAGAATCCCACAGTTTGTTATTCATTGACGTCATGGTTGTCTACTGGCTACTATGACTAATGCTGGTGACATTTGTCTACAAGTTTTCTGTGTGACATGTGCTTTCAATTCTGGGTATGTACCTAGAAGCGGATTTTCTGGATCATATGGTAACTCTATATTTAACATTCTGAGGCACTGTGGAGCTGTTTTTGTATTACCACCAGTCAGTGTACAAGAGTTTGGATTCCTTTCTGCTACTCAGGAGGCTGAAGTGGGAGAATCACCAGTTTGAGGCCAGTCTGGCACAGTCTGAAAACAAAAAAGAATTGGGGGTATAGTTCAGTGCTCCCTGGGTGCAATCCCCAGCACTGAAAATGTTCCACAGGAGTCCTTACATGTTTTTCCTGTTTTCTTGAGAGTCTAATCAGTCCTACTCAACTGCTGATGATGCCTTTACTTTGAGCCTGGAGTTGCAAGCACTCGAGGGAGAAAGGACAGGGCTAGTTCTTGCTCTTGACTTTTACCTTGCTGGGGAGATCATGAATGAAGGATGGTGTGTAAGTGAATTATTGTTCCGATAAGGACCCCACAGCTTCACACCACGAGTTACCCGAAGAGGTAAAAGTCACTTGCCAGTTAAACATCTTCCAGGTCTTCCTTGTCTGCAATGAAGAAAGGAAGAAGAGAAGCCAATGGCAGTGCCAAAAGTTTGTTTGAAAAGTGAGGAGTAAGGGGAAAAAGTGAGGGGAAAAAGTGGCTCTGCAGCACGAACCTGGTGCTAACACAAGGGGAAAGAAGAAAGGGAGCAAAAATCAAAGCATCCTCACCCCATCTAGAGGTAACAGAGTAGGCTACCCCGGAGGATCACCACGGCAGGCTCCTTGTGGCTTCCTGTCTCTTACGTCACCCACACATCATAGGCGCTGCTGAGAAGTTCTGCCTACAGGGGCCCATATAATTAATAGGTCTCGCTTATTTCCCAGCCAGCCTCGTCATGCCCTACCTCCTATCTCCTAGGTAGTAGTTTTTATTATAAAAGCTGTACACAGTCGTGATAAGAATGCATCCAGTAATATGGAATAATGCAAGAAAAAATGATCACAATTCCATCACATTAGGTTGTCCTAACTCCTCAGTTTCCCCAGAGTGTTTGTTGGAAATTGTCGTTATGACAGCCTTCCATCCCTAGGGGTTGATTCCATAGAGTTGAGTTAGGGAGAAACACCCTAGAAGATCAGACAGAAGGAGGGGTGGCCCTAGGCCAAAATGGTGAAGGAGATGTCCAGGAGGTAATGGCTCAGGCGTGACTCTGCTCGTCTGTGTGTTTGCTATAAAGCTTTATCCATTGCAAATTATTAGTGCGATATAAATTAGATTGTGACTGAAGACGGAGGTGTTTTAGGTAAGAGCAAAAGCAGGAAGGAAGGAAATCCACAGGTAACAGGTAAGGAAAAGGATGTGTGCATGGGGGCCGGGTGCTGGGAGAGAAGCCAGTGTGAAGGAAAATGGCCGGTGCTCTGTGGGAGCCAATCAGAGGGTCCCAGAGCCCCCCCCCAAACAAAACAAAACAAAACAAAACAAAAAAACCAAGGATAGGAGACACTGGATCTGTGGGAAGCAAAGTGACATGCAGAGCGGTGTGACGGCTGTAGCTCCTGCCCCTTCCTTGGGGGCAGCTCTAGGTTCCGGTTCTGTAATGGGAACACACAGAAATAACCCCAGCCCTCTACAAGGCCTTGTACCAGGCATCGCCAGTGAGGACCACAAGCCCTCCCAAGGCCTGCTCTCCTGCTCTGTCTCCTTCATTGCCCACTCTAGTTTTGCTTTTTCTTCTCAGATTACTGATCCTTTTTCAGCCTCCCCTTCCTGGATCTCCCCCTCCTCCCTTGTCCAGAGCAAGAGCACCATAACAAGTGAAAAAAGCTGTGGGCTACTCAGTAAACTGATCCTCTGTGAGAAGTGCTAACTCTGGTATAATCACTCTCCTCTCCTTGGGGTGCGCGGCATATTCTCAAAAGGTCGCAGAAGCCTTCTCTTTCTAACTTGCCGGCTGCAGGAGTCACAGTGCAGCATTTTGCCTATCTTACAAGATATTTATAACAAGCACAACTGGCCTTTAGCCGCATCTCAGGATCAAAAAGAAGAAACCGTCCCCAAGGTCGGTCTCTAGAATCGATCTAACTTTTGACTCAGAAAAAATGAGGCGTCCTCGCTCACAGCCTGAGTGCTGATTCACGACGCCATTTTTGTGCCCTGCAAGAGACCCCACGTTCCAGATTAACATTTCTCCCTGGAAGAGACCTCTCAAAATACCTTCAGCATTCAGTAATGCAGAATGAACTTGGGTATGAGGGGTTAACTTGATTACTGCTGTTAAATTAATAAACACTGCAAGAGAGAATTCTTTCGCTGTTTTTATGGGCTAAGGCTGAGGCAAAATGGACAGCAGTTTTAGGAGGCAGAAGTTAGCACAGATGTGTATCACTGGACAGAAATGTGTATTTTGTTCCTCTTTTATTGGCTTCACTGCACAGTGTAACAGCCCTTGAACTTTTCATATTGTAAGTATATTGACAAAATTGGTGTAATGAACAAAATTCACTTATCCACCATACATCATTAAAAAAATCTTTCAAGATAAAAAATTTCAGAACTGCATGTAAAATACACTGAACTGCAGTTGCTTTTAACAAATATTCAAAGGCTATGAGCACTGAGTAAGATCTGAGGATTTTTAGATGTGAATCTTCCAAGAAAAGTCATTTATTGATTAATCGAAAAGTTGCAAAGTAGAACCAGGGTCTCCAAAAAATAAAACCCCAAATCATTATCCAAATACATGCAATCGGGATTAAAGAGAGATTATTTGCTTTTTTGGAGATAGAAAAAATAACGACTTTAAGCTTTGTTCGCACCTTCTATTTCTGAAAACCATAAAGAAATTGTTTCCAGTCAGACGTGTACTCTGCATTTGAGAGCCTCCCTATCCTGTAACTTGCTATGCTCCAGGAGCCCTGGTCCAACACTTCAGCCAGTCTGGGTCCTTTCCCTCCTCTTTCCCTTCCCCCTCACCCCAGTACCCTGCTGAATTTAGTACAGAGTAGAACTTTTGTCCTATTTTCTGTCACAAATGAATGCTCGTGTTTTGTCCATAAGATCCTCTATGACTCCTCTACCCTACACCCTTTCCGAATATTCTGACTGACATTTTGTACTTTGCTTTAGAGTGAGAGGGATCTCCTTGAACACATCTTTTAAAAGAGATGCCTAAACCTTAATTCTCTTCTAAGCCCTCGATTATCAGTCCTAGAGCACCAAGCCTTTGGAAGGGTTTTTGTTTTTGTTTTGTACTGGGAATTGAACTCAGGACCTTGTACTTGGCAGGCAGGCTCAGTGCCTCTGCGCTATATCCCTGGCCCACTTTGGGCAGTTTTTAAGGAACTTTTCATGGGTTCTTTAGAGGTTGCAAAGCTGGAAAGAAACATTGCTGTTATTCATGTCAACTGACTCACCTTGCATATAAAGAAACACAGAAATGGTTCATATTGTAAGACTGCAGGCACCTGCTACCCTTGTGGTTATAGAGCTGTATCATCTTACCCATGTGATGTGGAGATGAATTCAAGCAGATAAGTTAATAAATCCATGAATGAAAAATATCCACTTGCTAAGCTACATGAGAGTTATAATAACCTTAAATAGTGTCTTTTGGTTGTGGTGGGTGTAGAGGAGTAAAACATATATTATTTCTGCAAAAACAACCCCATGGATGATTTAAAAAAAAAAATATTCTGAATCTTCAGTTTAAGTGCCTGGGAAACCAGAAGTATTTGCAGTTAGATTGTAGAGGATTCTTTAGCAAAACTTCTGTTTCTCAAAATAAGCACAATCAATCTAGGGAAAAGCTTCAAGTTTCTTTACTTCCAAACAGACTTTTAAGCTGTTTTTCTTTGACCTGACAAGGGAGATTGCAATGAAGATCACGAAGTTCTGTGGATACTGCCCTCTCTGTGTTTCAGCAGAAATGCCTAGATCCTCTTGGGCCGCAGAGCTGCAGAAGACACACAGTCCGAAGAAGCCTCTACGGGTTGGAAATGCGTTTAATCCTCTTCCGTCCTGACTTTTCCCTTGTTGCGTGGTCCCCGCCCCCTTAGCTGAA